TAAAGTCTGTTTAGTAGAAGGGTGGGGGCTTTTGCAGGAGTTCAGTCTGGGCAGGGCTGGGATTGCCCTTGTTTTGGATTATTGTGCAAGTGTTTCTCTTGCACAGAACTTACTTGGGTTAAAGAAAATGCTTGAAAGCACTTCCATGCTTACACACTCATCCTCCTTCCTTAGGTCAGAATTGTCTGTATTAATGTACTAGGCTGTGCCCTGGCAGCTGCTGGTTATTATGAAACAGGAAAAATGCACTTGGACTTAAACTTCCAAGGAAAGGAAAACCTCAGAACAGCAGCAGATGTGAGGATTTAAACTTCTCTGCCAGGCTTTGCTATCTGCCAGAGGAGTATCCTAGAAAGCAGTTTGGAAATATAGAAAAATAACATTCAAAGGATTCAGCTGAGATACACCGGTTCCTTTCTCTCCCTACCAATTACCTGCAAATATCAGGTAGTGTCACCTCCTCATTAGGTGGGAAGCAGCCTTATCCTCCAGCTCTTCCATTGCAGGAAACCCAGCAACTTGCCCAAGGTTATACTTCATCAGTCACTGTCAGCTACTGGCTTACATTACAACCCAGGGAATCCTGTTTATCTCTGGTGCAATTACAGAGCCATATAACCCCTCGAGAGGGCTACTAAGAAAACAGCACAAGTTCACCCAAGACAACATTTGACCTGGGTGCTGCTTTGGCAATGTTGCCAAAGGTGCTGCAGGAAGCCATATCATTTCTAAGCACACACGCAGCTCTATTCCCCATAGCGTTACCACACCAGCACCTCAGCCACGTGTCTGAAAGCAGCATCTGCTGGTACCTTACACACACCACTTCTGGGTGTGTGGAAAACCAACCCAGGGCAAGGGAAACAAAACAAAAAGAAGCCTTGGCTGTTCTCCCAGAGAGCAGTCAGCATCAAACCTGGCCGGCCTCCAGCACAAGTAAATTCATCTTACCAGCCTTAATGCTGCCCTTCTGTTCTCTGAAGTGCTTCACACCTTCTTTCAAAGCGCTGCACAGCTCTGTAACTCTAGCCCTGCAGCACGCTCCACCAGCACCCAACAGGAGGCCACCTTCCCAGCTTTGTATTGTTTGTTGATTGCTATTGTATAAATACTTACACTTACAATCTAGACCCCTCAGCTCAAAGCACCTGACACAACCTTACTAAGGCCCTTGCTAATGGGTTAATTTATAGCAACTGAAGGCCTGGTTTTTTTTTTTCAGTTGCACAGGTGAACATTAATTACACCCTTCTGGTGTTTATTGGCAAGGCATTTGAAAGAGCTGAATATTTCTGTATGCTTCTTTCAGGATCTGTAGCAGAAAAAAATCTACGTTTTGGGAGGTCCATGGTGTAGACTCTGTAACTCATTTATATAAAGGAGACTATTCCTTAAGAGAGGTGAAGCAAGAACTTGAGTTTCAGGTTGCTGCCTTAATCATGGATGATGTCTTTGCTGTTGCACAGTTGACCTCACTGACCACAGGAAAGTATCACTGAATGAATGAGGATCGACTGCTTAGATGTCTTGCAGAATCCAGCCATCCTTTGCATCCATTCTGAGCACATGGTGCAAGATAACATTTTGCATCATTATCATAAGGGGCTGGGAGCATAACTCAGCAATGTTCTAACACTGTGGTTACTGGGACCTGTCAGTGCCAGGACCGACAGTTTGCAACCTACACCAGATAAACAAGAAACCGTGGTGAAACTGGTTCGTATTACACGGGCTACAGGATGGGAAAAGCAAGGCACCGTGTTGTCTGCAGAACTTTCTCAGCTCTGGAGCTGCTGGTTCTGAGGGGACCTTCTCATTGAGTGTCAGGAGTTTAATTTCTTTTTAGTTCCTTTATGCCCTCATCAAACTTTGTGGTACCGCATGGTAGTCATAGATGATACCGATTATAGCATCTAACATCTTCTGTAAGCAGCAAGACCTCATGTTAATATGCTGCTTCCTGGTATCAGACAAAGAAATATTTGTGCAGGCCACAGTGAACCGGTTAAGCAAGGAAAAAAAAGGCAGATTGAAAGACAGTGAGAGGATCTCCAATCAAATGAAAGCATGGCATGATTAGTAAGTGAAGGCAGTCAGCGTCTCTGGGAATGGTCTGTTACTGCATACAGTGATTCCTGGCAGGAATGACAGCTTCATTATTTCTTCTTAAAAAGAAAACACTGCACAGCAAATGCTTTACTCCTGACTCTTAGTGAATGTTGTGCCACAAGGGGCGATGATGGCATCCGAAGGGCCTGCAAGCCTTTTATTTTTCAAGCAAATTCTGCACCCTGCCTCTGGCTGCAGAGAGGTGCTGGCAGCTGAGCAAGCAGTTGCTTTTCACTCTGAAGCAGGAACGGCTCAACTCCAGCACCTCCCTCCAGGACCTGGCACCAAGGTCCTCCTTACTGCTGTTGTTTTTGCTCACTCCTTGTCCTCAGCTCAGGGTCCACTATGCTCATCCCAAAAGGAGGTGCCCTGTTACCCAGCCCAGTGCAGCAGCTCCTGATGAGCTTTCTGTGGCTTTTCCATGGGCAGTGTCTTTTTCTGGCTGCCCATCACAGCAGTGTGCTGGTGCAGTGTAGCTGGCAGGCTGGTGCTGTCTCAGATGCAGCTCTTTGCAGTGGAGAGATGCCTGAGAATGCTTCCAAGGGAGGCGAGTACAAGTCTGTATTGGATAAACAAGGTCTTTTGTATGGGCTTAAAAGCACTACACACCCATAGAAAGTCCCAAAGAAATCCCATCAGATATGATCCTTCATCACTCTCAGCCCTTTTGAAAATCCAATGTAAAATATTAAATGTATGGCTGCATATGAGCAGTGAAGGGCATGTTTCAATTGTGTCCTGAGAAATTCTTAAGATCAAATAAAAGGAGTATTTAAATAAAGTAGAAATTGACTCACGTAATTGCTAGCCTGGCATTAATGAGTAAAATTAATGCCTTGTCTGCAGAAGGCAAGCTGGAGGAGGGAAGGCTGGAAAACGGGTTATTTTGGAAACAGGGATTTTTCTGGGTTGCAATGAAGGAAGGCTGCACAGCAGAGCTCTCCTCACTGCCTCCAGCTGGGGGTCCTCACCTCTTCTACCTGCTTACAGACTGCCATGCTGCCAGTCATGAGTTTCTGAAGCAGCTGTGGGCTTGGTGAAAAGGAAGGAAAGCAACAGAGGGAATTACAGGAAACGAAGGAGGAAGTAAGGCATCCTCATGAGTGTGTGCGTGGTAGCCCTCCGAGGTGCCCTGGGTCACAAAGTAATAAATGAGAAAGTATCAAAGAAACTGAAGTTTTGTGCTTCAGCGTTCGTGCTACCTCTTATAGCAGACACCAGAGTGAAGCAAAACTGCACTCTGAAATGTGAGATCCAGAAAAGCAGTAAGAAAACCTGGGGAAAATCTCCAGCTTGTCCAGATCAGCCTTTCACCCAGAGACTGTTCTACACTTCATCCGCATCACTGCGTGAGATAATCACAACGTGAAAATAAGTCCTCTTTGTTCACGTGCAAAAACTAATGAACAAAGCTACTCCCACATCCTTTCTCTTTATAAGGAAGGAAAGAGTTCATTTAGAAATGACTTCAGAGCTAACACCATACAGAGAGTGAGAAAGTCCTATAGTGCCTCATTTACTTTTCCTATCACTACTTTCTTATCATCATCTGTACGAGTACAGGGCACTGCTAATCAGTTTGTAAATTACTTGTTGCAACCAGGAATTCACTCAAATCTACAGAAATAGAGTTGGTTTTGTCCTTTTTTTTTTTTTTTTTCTTACTGCTGCTTCAGAATACATTTAATCAGGAAATTGTCTATCTTATGTTCCCCTGTGTCTGTTTGCAATTAATGACCAAAAAAAAAAAAGAAAAATCATCTGACTACATGCATTGTTTTCTACCTACCTACTAACTCAGAACTCTGTGTGCATTTATGACCCCCATGAAGGACTTCAGGTCTATGAAACACAATACTTTTGTTGTAGCAAAGTCTACAAGAAAGCTGTATATAGCTCAAGAAAAACAAACCAGACCAGGGCTGCCCCCTTCTGCAATATTACTGCAGACAACTTTCCATTTACATTCCTCAGGCGATGGGCTGTAGATTAGATTGAGTTTGCAGTCTCTTGTGACTTTCTGCTTGTTTTCCTTTACACAGGTAAGAAGAGTCCACCTGCTGAGGACAAAGTAGTGCTAACACATATGAAGATATTGAGCAATGAAGGAATTCAGAACCCAGGGCTAGTACCAGAGGCTCCTGCTGATGCAGCCTGCACCGAGGAACCCCATCTTCCCAGCACAAATTTCCCACAGGACTGCCAGGGATGTCCAAATGCCACAGCCATAACAGCAGACACAGACTATGCAGAAGCCCCAGCAGGCACAGATTATGTAGCCACACTGCCTGACCTCAGCAGCTTTGAGTCCAAGTGCCGCCTTCACAGATTCTCCAAATTTGAATCTGAGGACTCGGGAGTTGAGCTGCCAAGCGGAGCTAACTCTCCATCAACGCCAACGGGCTCAGAGAAGAGCTTTGTTCTTCACAGTAGAGACTCATTTTGTGACTCAGGTGTGCTTAGCACCTCATCTTCTCCAGAAATTGACCACCTGATAATGAGAGCATGTAAAGAACGTTCCAGGAAGGTTGGCCAGCAAGTTGTGGAGAGTGAAAAGAAAGATGAGCTCTATAGCCAGGAGTCAGATGTTGTGGAGGTTCCCACACCTTCCCTTGAAGACTTCAGTGTTCCTCAGGAAGCAGAAAATCCTGATGAGCGTTTTGACCAGAGTGAAAGGCAATCTCTGGAAAAAGAACCATCCCCAGAGACGAACTCCCCCACAGAGAGCACTCTTCCCACCCCAATTCCCATAGAGGAGCCAAAAACAATTGCTGACAATTACACAGAGACCTTTGGCAGTGCACAAGACCTTCAGCTCCATGGACATCAGCTGAAGAAGTACCCCACAAGTGACAGTCTGGACGAATACATGAATGAATGCTGTAGACTGAGTGAGGTAAGAAATGCACCTAAACTGTATCTTATAGTTAGGCTTCTCTAAATATCACAGGATCACAGAATTGTAGGGGTTGGAAGGGATCTCCAGAGATCATCGAGTCCAACCCCCCTGCCAAAGCAGGTTCCCTACAGCAGGTCGCACAGGTCGGCATCCAGGCAGGTCTGGAACATCTCCAGAGAAGGAGACTCCACCACCTCCCTGGGCAGCCTGTTCCAGTGCTCCGTCACCTCACTGTAAAGAAGTTCTTGCGCACATTTGTGCAGAACTTCCTATGCTGCAGTTTCCAGCCGTTTCCCCTTGTCCTGTCTCCACTCACCACTGAAAAGAGTCCAGCCTCGCCATTCTGCCCCCCACACCTTAGATATTTATAGACCTGGATCAGGTCCCCTCTCAGTCTTCTCTTCTCAAGGCTGAACAGACCCAGTTCACTCAGCCTTTCCTCATAGGAGAGATGCTCCAGGCCCCTCACCATCTTTGTGGCCCTCAGTTCTGCTGTCCATAACAAATTATGAGACATTTGAACTAACAGTAAAGTCCATTTCAAAAAGCTTTAGATTAGAGGATGTGCTTATGTTTGTTCTTAAAATGAAAACTGTGAAGTAAGTTATCCTGCAGAGCCACACCGCTCTGTTAGCTGAGGTGGGAGCAGAACACGGTTTCAAAGTCAAGTTATTCCTGTTTCTGGGAACAGCTGGCTGGCTGTTGAGGCTTCAAAGTTTGGAGAAAACTTGTCTGAGGGGCAGTTCATTCTGCCCAGGCCTGGATCTGGCTCAAGAGTCAGTTCTCAAGTAGTGAGTGAACAGCAAATTAATGCACAAATCCAAATCTTTGCTGGGAGTTTCCATTTTACTTTACTGGAACAGCTGTGATGGAAATTCTTGTGTTCAGAGACCGACTTAATTACAAAGAAGTAATTTTTTCAGTAACTTGTGCTACTTCAAACTCACTCCTTTCCCATTGCTGGGTACACTGTGCAATGAATAGGAGAATAAAAAGCCGCCTGAGTACCTGCTCCACACTAAATGCTGGCAAGTGCTCAGGCCAGAGCTTTGCCTGGAGTGCACACAGACATGCTGACAGATTGTGAACCTGCCTGCCATTGTGGCTTCCAGGAGCTAGCGACAAAAAGTTAACTTCACTGCAAGTTAATACCTGAGTGAGAGCCAGAACAGAGAGCTCAGTAGGCAGAAGGAAAGGAGAGGGCAGGCTAAGTACCAGCGGTCACCAAAGAGTGCATAGAGGGGGCTTTTCAGAACGTACAAGGTGCTTGGACCCCTCTAAAAAGTAATTCCCAAGAGCAGTACCTGTTGGAGGCTCCAGAGAGTCAGTCATCCCATGTCACACACCAGGCCTGGGGATGCTGCCTATATCATCAGAATGTGGGGCTGTGTTACCATGGTGAGTCCACGCGTGGCTTCCCATCTGGGTAACAGGATGAATTGGAAAAGGGAGGCAGGAGGGGGCCAAGAGACATGTGCTGTGCATGTAACAAGCATATTTCACCATGACCTCCCTGGCCAGGCACAGACTCATCAGTCGGCCAGACCTCCCAAAGCAGTGAGGAAGGTCAGAGATGGCCCCATAGCTCAGGACCACTGCCCTTAATATTCACATCTGGGCAGCACAAGCAGATCACAATCAAATGGAGTGTCCTCTTCCTCACCAGAGCCACCTCGCACATTCTTGTGAAGTGAGTGACTTTGATGGTTCCCAGACAGTGGCCTGGCCTTTTGGCTAGGAGCTCAGAAAGGACTGGAGCAGCAGACTTCGAATACAAGGAAACTTTTTATAAAGTTACCTAAATTCTCTGTCGCTCTGGAGGGTTTGCAGCTAGCTTGATCTTGTCTGACAGCTTTGGCTGCCCATGAAATTCCTTTAAATCCTTTGTGAAGCCAAGCCTCAGTTTCCCAAAGCAGACCATTTAAATAAACAAGAGAATAAATTAGAAAGAGACTGAAGAGGAAATGAAGCTCTTCGTGGCTTATCTCCTCTCCTTTTTAATATCCTCACTGGCTGAGTGCTAAAGCTCTGTGCCCCAGAGCACTTCTCTGTGTTTGTTTTTGGAGCAGTACAAATACAGCTGTGACCTGGACACTGGGGAAGCCTGCCCCCCGTCACAGAGCACCTCTGGGCTGCTCTATCTCAGGAGCAGCACTCTGCTAACTGCTGGGATGCCAGCAGTGCCCAGGCTATCTGGAGCAACAACAGACCAGGGCTGCTGCTGTATTTGAGCCTCAGAGCATGAGGACAGCAACGACAGAGCTTTGTGCCCTCGCTAAACCTGCACAATGTTGTCCCGTCCTCACTGTCATGCAGTGCAGGCAGGACACTGTGTGATCCAGAGTGATCTATCTGTACAACTGATGGATGCATCTTGGTTTGCCCCAGCTGAGGCCCTGCTCCGTGCTCACTGGAGTTTTCACATGCTCCTGTCACCTGTCTGAAATGTGACTTAGAAGCCAACTCTTGTCTGTGTCCCTAAGACCACTCCAGGCTTGACATCTCTGGAAACACAGTCAGTGTCATCTGAAAGACAACAGGCCAGTACATGGAATTCCCACTCTGCTTGGCAAAAAAACATGCCCCTTCCAATTAATTCCTAATGCATTAATTCACTTGGAGTTTCCCCAGCCCAGTTGGCTGTGGTATTGCCAGTGGCTCTGAGCTTACCATCAAGAGAGGATGCAGCCCTGGATGAGGACTTGATATCCTCCAACCTTGCTGCTGAGACTGCTTCACAGAAACATGAGGGAAAGTGCTGGAAAAGAGGGACTGGAAAAGACAAATGTTTTGATGCTTTGGATTCATTTGGTGAAAGGTTTTGGTTGAAAATATACATCACATCATTTCAGTCTGGCATTTCTTAAACAAAGCGTTCTGATCTTCTGTTTTGAACTGGCGTTATTTTGAAATTTGCCTACATTTAAAAAGATGAAAGAGTGTGGAAGCTGTTAAACAACAAGAGAACTTTGAAGGCTAAATAAAAGCATTTCCTTTTAAGCCAAATTAAATGTTTTGGGTCAGTTTGAAGATACTTAGCTTTTGATGCTTTTGCTTTGCAAACACTTCCTCACACTCCATAAAGTTTACATTTAAAGTCAGCCCAGGCCCCTACAAGAAGAGAGAGGGAGGGAACGTTGTCGTCATTAAATGAAAAAAAAAAGCCCATTAATCACACAGCACTAATTATCCTTGTCCAAAGAAGTCAAACTACTTGTCAGTGGAGAGGAGAAGGGTTGAGGGGAAGGATAGGGCAAGCTGTGATGCTCTGCCCATAGCCTGTGCGTGCCACGCGCAGGAAACCAGAAGCTATCAGCAGTGCAACCACTCGTGGACATCAGGGTGGAGTGATCAGAAATATACAGCATGATCCCTCACTTTCCTGTTATTCACAAGCCTCAGGGTGCTGTCAGCTCCCACTGACAAATGCTTCCCGCACTGCCTATGGCGTCACCAATCAGTCGCTCCAAGCCCATGATGTGCAGCATGTGATTACATTCCTTTGCCTTTGTGCAGGCCCCATGCTCCATCCTTGCTCGCCATGCTGATGGGGTGGAGGAAAGCGGATGGGGATTTCTAGAAGGACAGAGTACTGTTCTACTCAAAATTGTTCATGGGAGAAAGCAAAGAGTCTGGTAAACAACTGTCTGTCTTGCAGCTCCCACTGGCCTTCATACCTCAGTAGTGCAATAAGGTAGAGCAACTCCAGTGACTTTGGAGGAAAAGCATGATTTTACACCAGCCAAAATATTGACCAGAGAGCTCCAGATAAGAGCAGCAGCTCCCAGTGCAGGCACTGATCCTGTATTTTTAGGCTTCCCAAGGAATTTGTGAGCTAGCAGAACTGTGAGGATTTATTGCTGAGGAGGGCTGCACCTGCTGAAAACCCATCCCCAAAACCTAGTCAGGTGAGCACTCCCAAGGGCAGAGATCTCACTCCAGTTTCCCTTCAATCCACACGGTCAAATTGTTAGTGAGAGCAACTCAGCACAGTGGGGCTGGGACCTTGCCGTCCTTTTCTTCTTTCTGAGAGTGTCTTTCAGTTTGACGTGCCCGAAAGAAAAAGCTGGCACAATTTATACATTATTGTTCCCTATTCTAACTTTAACCTTCCGATTTGTAAGCTCTACCTGATCCTCTGCATCTTTATATTAAGAAACATAGGTTTTATGCACCCAAAAATAGGTACATGGCTTTTGTTCGAGTACTATTTAGCAATCCCCAGTGGGGAATGGGAAACATTTCAGCCCCGTGAGATGAATGTTTTGGGAAGCTTCATCTGAGAGGACAGACAGAAAGGGACTCCTCCTGGAAAATGTTTGCAGTTTTCCTGTGGTTGCTCCCCCACAACTTCAAGCATAAAACTCTGATAGGTGCTGAGAGGAAAATATTTATACCAATACGTGACAGAGCAGGTTCTGTACGCAGCACAGCCAGAAGATAGTGAGGGATGTGTAGGCGTTTCCAGTCCATGGAAAAAAAGTCCTGGAAGGGGCCCTGGAGAGGCCCTCTCTGGGCAAACATTTTTGGGGGCAACCTGCCAAGTTACACAAACTTTCTGTATTGAATGCCCACCACATCTGAGCAATCCTACCGCAAATGGGCCTCGTGGGAGGGCACAAAAGCTGAAGCTCTCCCTTCAAAGCTCTTACACTTGCGTGCTACCTACTGAGATGGTTGGCCCTGCAGGGGTGGGCAAACACTGCAGGCTCTGCCTGGTTGGTCGCCTTCTCACTCCTTTGCACCTGCTGGGATCATGGCAACAAAACACACATTAATTTGCTGTTCAATAGCCTGAAGTTCCCGATCTGGGCACTCTGAGGGATGGCTGTAGAATGGGATCCTCCAGTATATTATACCCAATGTGGTTTAGCTCCTCCACAAGGGTGAATCCCCCTTGCTAGAAGCCTGGAACAAGTACTCCTTTTCCCTCTTTTCTTTTGGGATGGGTGACCTCTGTCCTGCCACTTCTCCTCCGGGTGCTGCTGAGAGGGACACAGAGCTCAGGAAGGCAAATGGCCAATGGAGACTTGGAGTCACAGTGGATTTTCATACCATTTCATGTGACCTCTGTCCCAGCTTCAGACACAAAAACATCTGGACATAATAACGCCTATTTATAAACAACATTGTATCATCATTTGTTTAAAAAGAAGTAAATCCTAATGCTGATTATTTTTGAACACACCATGAGCTTTCTGACATAATGAAAAGACAGGAAGAGTCCTAAGGCTGGCATTTCCCCAAAAACGTAGATTGTTGTGGGAAAGGAGACAGAGTAGGCTTCCTGCTTTTGTAGAGGGAACTTTTTTTTTTTTTTTTGAAGGTAAACTTACAGCACCGTTTTTGTAAAGGTTGAGGCTTATTTTACTTACTGACATCAGATGCACAGCAGCAGGCAGCGCCAAGGTGGAAGAGAGCCTCTGCGTGCATTTGTGAGCACTGCATCCAGCGGTGCCCTGCCCACGTGCAGGGAAGCCCTGGGGCAGAGGCTACAGGCTGGGCATGGGGAGACACTGCAGGTCCTGGTTGGGCAGAGAGCAGCAGTACAGCCTACTCGTGGCTCATGCTTTTCTGCTGACGCACAAACACTGCGAAAATCTGCTCACGGACAGCAACACAGGCAATCCTTTTCATCAAAAATCACACCACCTCCTAGTGCCCAGTCCCAGGCAGCTGCTGTGCCTTGAGCTCAGCTCCAAAGAGACCAAGCTGAAAGCACACATTTCCAAATGGGCGACTCGTCATTCTGAAAGAACTACAGCACAGTAAAACTCACAGCATTGCAATGTTTCTCTCCAATACTGATCATTTTTGCCAGTGCTCTGATAAAAGCATTTTAAGACCAGTTGATGCCACACTTACAGAACATCCTGACAAAGCTATATTGCAAACTTGGGCCAGCAGACTTCCTTAATATCTGAGAAAATGGCATCTGGGTTCTACTAAATTGGGAAGATGTTGTTCACAAGATGCAGATCGATTCAGGTACATGTGTCTGCAAAGAGCAGGCTGGGCTCCCAGATGCCAGTAAGGGTTGCTCTGCCATCTGTGGCTCAGGCTGTTTTGTCATTGCAGGTGAACCAAGGGAACAGCAAAGCCCTGGGATCTGGCCTGGGATACCTGGAACACATTTGCCAACTGATTGAGAAGATTGGGCAGCTGCAGGAGCACAACCTGCGGCTCCAAAAGCAAGTCTGCAGCTTACAGAAAGAGCAGAAGATGAGCCAGATAAAAGAGGTAAGCAGACAGCATAGAATCTTTCATTAAATGATATACTCAAGGCCCATATGGGAAGTCTCCAGCCCACCTGAGGGATGATGCTGATTTTACTTGACCACCTGGGCTGGGTGCTCTGCTCTTTAGGGAGCCCTTGCCCTCCATGGTGAGCTCAGTTTCTCTTGGGGTGGTCTTAGATTTCTCTTCTCATCCAGTTTTGTTTCTCAGATGCCCTAACTGCCATTTACTTGCTTCTGTTGAGTTAAAAAGGGCCCCCTCACCTCATGCCATGGCCAACTCTGTTGGTAGCTTTCATTTCTTTGCAGTCAAAAATGCCCCAAGAATGCATCTCCCTCTGACAGTGTTATCAAAACAAAACACTGTCATGGACTTCTGTAGCAATCACACGTTTTGAATTGCAAGTTCTTTCTTTCCCTTCTATTTTCATGTGGTCGAAATCCCAGAATTTCCCACAAAATAGACACAGTAGAAGAGAGAATTGGTGGTACCACTGCCCAACATCCATGCTTGTTTTTTAGTTTTCTCTTTCTGCTCTGCTGAGCTACCAAAGGAAGAATCACAGAATCACAGAATGGCCAGTGTTGGAAGGGACCTCAAGGATCATGAATCCCAACCTCCCTGCCACATGCAGGGCCACCAACCTCCCCATTTAATACTAGACTAAGCTGCCCAGGGCCCCGTCCAATCTGGCCTTCAACACCTCTAGGAACGGGGCATCTACAGTCTTTCTGGGCAGCCTGTTCCAGCACTTTGCCACTCTCTCTGTAAAGAACTCAGAATTTATGACTTGAAACATCTTAGTGCTCCCATCTGTCTTTTCTTTCATTAATTTTTTTTTTTTTTTTAAATCAGCCAGAGCTAGCTGTGGAATTTGATTTAAATTTTCAAGTCATTTCAGCTTCCTCCCACACACCAAGTTCTCAGACCCTGAACACTTTGTTCAGCTCCGCGCCACCTCTTTTTCTCAGTTCCTTTTCTTTGGCCACCATACCAGCTTTCCACCTTTTCACCTCCCTTCCCTTTCTCCCCTTTCATTTATTATATCACCCCCAAAGGAACACAAGGGGTCTGTCACACTCAGCTATTTCTTCCCACCATGCTGTGATGAGTCTTTCATTCCTCCGACACAGTCATTCCTCCCCTGGTACTGCTCTCCCACCTGCTGGGACTGGATCTGCAGTAGGTGACCAGCTCCTTCTCAGAGCTGAAGCCAAGTTGTGAGTCAGGTTGCAGAGCAGGGAGGCTCGTCATTTCCATGTACTCATCTCTCACACTCAGAGGAATGCAACCTCCTGCATAGAGCCTGGGAATTGTTAACACGTTTCCTGAAGCTCTACAACTGAGTCATTGCCCAAAGCAACCCTTATAAGCTGCAAATTCAGGGTCAAATCATCATCTGGTGTATGTGCACCATCCTCCAGCTCCCATTAAAATGAAAGGCACCGTGCATTTATGTAAATATTCGAAACTGGTCCTCACAGTATTTTCCAAGGTCTCTCAACACAGCCTTCTTGCCTGCATATGTCCCGTGATATGCTGGGGGAACTGCACTCCCAGTTGTAACACTCAGCACTTGCAACATGATCTACAAAACTGAATGCTCTCCCGGTATTACTGTGGTGCCTGCATCTTCTGCATCCAAGTAATTCTCCATTATTTTCCTCCTCAGTCCCACAAGCCCTCTATACATATATATATAGAAGAATATAGAAGAGAAACATTACTACCACTATTTGCCATAGGACATAACAGCTGATGTCCGCATGACTTTTTCCTGGGAGGGGGGGCATCTTAAGGCTACTTGCCAAACCACAATAAAGAGGAGGTATCATTCTCTGCCTTTACTGCGATCCCATTAGATCTCACCAGCTTAATGACCTCCATACTTACCAAAAGACCTCCCAGACACACCTGTGGCAGGGGCTGTGTACAGAGTTGATACTGAGGAGCACAGGGAACACAGTTACTTCATGTCCTTTGCTTTACAAATGATCCTCAATGCCCTGGGTAAAAAGCAACATATTTTATCAGCTTTTCAAAGCACCCCCCCAAAAGCCCAGATACTGCAAAGTGCTATGTGAAACATATCCATATGAGATGTTACATTAAGATTGTCAATTACAAGGTTGAAAGGCTCCCTCTCTCACTGTACCAGCTACAGCAAAGCACCACATATGGTGAGTGTTTGGTAACACGTTAGCAAGTTATGGCCTCCCATCAATAAAAATACAAGATATTGTTGTCTGTGCATGGTCCAAAACAAATAATATTATCATAAAATGTGAGTCTGTTATAATGGATGTTTATTTACACAACTGCTTCAGCTGAGCAGCTCTGTGTTTAGAAACTGTCTTCAACTCCTTCTGGCAAACAACCCCAAAAGCTGCTGAACACCAAGCAGTTCAAGTCAAGCACTAATGAATCCATGAAAAAATCTGCATTGCTTACTCTAGATTGCTCAGCCTTACAGAGAGGTAAATCCCTTATCTGGGTCCTGTCAGGTCTCAGGACAAGGCTGAGCATCCCAGGGCTGGAATGCTTGCAATCTGTCTGTGCCTTCACACTGACCCGCTACCTTGAGCTGCTGCAGCCTCACAGTCTGCTTACCTTCTCTTGTCTGGTGTAGGAGTACCTCATGCAGCATTGCTCCTGTGGAGCTGCCAGCATGTTCCTCAACTCGTACCAAGACATGAAGACATTTCTGGCAGGGAGAAGCAGACCTCATAGCCTCTTGGTTCAGACTGGAAACCCTTCTGATCTTTCAATCATCCCAGAAATAGGAGCAAACACCGACAAGCTCAGCGACTACTGTGGTGAGTTTGGCTGCCCCAAAACTGCCCTTCCATTTGTCACCACTTGGTGAGACAAGCTGACCGGCAACTCCCTTTTCCCTAGGACAGGCAGATAGGAAGGTGCCAGCTTCCCAACTAAGGTTTTATCCCATAAAAGATGCATTCTGAAATACCTTGAACACTTGCTCCTTCACATGTGCGAAGTCAGATTTCTTGCCCACTGTAACTGTGGCTACAGAGGTTGGGCCAAATATATTATCAAAATATCTTTCTCTTTTGGAAACCTGAACAAGTCTATTAGTATAGCTCCTCCATGTGGCTTTAAAATCCTCCCAGCCAAGATATAGTTTTATCTAAGGTGGGAAGCCTCATGCCTATTAGTCTCCTGCTCTCTCATACAGGCACAGAACACATTCCTGGAGGATGACATACTCAGTAGACCAAGAGGAAATAAACCCCAGCTGCAAAGCTTGGTCCAGAGATCAACTTTTCCAGAAGGCTGAGAACGACTGGACTCAGCCTACTCATGTAAAGCCAGCTGAAAAGCCTAGATAAAATGTTACATGTCAACTACCACAGTAAATGAACCTAATTAGTTTATTTCAAACCTTCAAGTTCAGCCTGCTGTTATACCCTCTGAAACACAAACCTTCAACACAGCTTCTAGCAGAACTGGGTCACTGTGTAAACGGCCTTTGGGCCCTCTAGTGCCAAAACTCAGAAACTCTCTTTATTGGCAGTTTCAGTGCAGGGTTGAGAGGAAAATAAGACCATGAGGAAGCCAACAGAAAGTTTGCCCCGATCACGCACGAGCTTGGATCATTTACCTTCCTTGCACCAAATTGTGGCATGAAGACAAAAAGTTTTCTGTCAATCATTAAGCCCTAAGAGGACTCATCCTGTTGCTGGCAGCACTGTCCACCAGGACATTACTTAGAAATGTGAGTACAAATATAAGTCCTTGCATTTCATTGCAGGAAGTGAGAGATACCCAGAATCAGGAAACAGCCATCCAACAGCAGGGCTCAGGAAGTTGTCGAACAATAGGAACAAGGAAAATGAGTTCAGAGAAGGTGGTGGCATGGCCGAAAGACAGGCTTTTCCACCAAAGGATTCTGCAGCCAGAAAGGTGAGTGATAAACCTGGCGCCAGGGCTCTGGGTGAGATCTGTGCGGGAAGTAGGGAGTTCTGCTCAGGCAAATGCAAAGTCAGGCACTGGGAGAACAAGCCCACACTGCCTGCTTTCCACCAGGGCTGGGGCATGCAGGAAAGCGTGCTCCGTATGCTTCTGGTCCCAGCCTCAAACAAAGATCGTATGCCAACATGGCTAGAAGGGCACAGAGCAGGTACCCAGTGTGTACCAGCCCCAAAGAGTTTGATGCGTGAAGTCAGTTCTAAGCACCTTCACTAATACTGCCAGCGAGATTAAAGCAAGCACATGTTCATTACTGCAAATAACAATTTCAGTGGGTCAGCCTGTAGCTTATTGCCAGACTGGCAGCATATCAGTGTAATAATCAGACCTCAAAGCTTGTTTTAGGGAAGCCCTATCACTGAATTCCAAGGAAGCTGCAACGAATGGTTTTCCTCTCTCTCTCTCTCCCATTGTTTGTGGCTGCCTCAGCACTTTACTGTTCCAAGGGGGATCAGAAGTGCTGAAATACCAGTGCAGAGGCTCTAATCAGAGTATTCCCAGCCCCACAGGAAGGAGGAAGGAGTAAGTCTCTCACGGGAAAGACTTTCTCATGAAATTTCCACGTAAAGTTGCAAATTGGTTGCAAACATTTGCATGAACTCCATAAACACTGTCAAGAACATATCCTGAAAGATGCTCAGTGCTGCAGTTCGTGTCTAGCAAAGTTCTGGCTATGAACATTATTTAAGTGCATGGGAAGTCCTGATTACTTATTTCACAGCACAGCAGAACTGAGATCCACACTTCTTAAACTGAATCCTAGCGCAGTCTTCCTACACCGCATCTTTGTATAGTCACTCCTATATTTGGTACTGCGGACCTTTACCTTCTACAGCTGAGGAGCTGTATGGGAATCCTGCCACACCATTCCAGATGCAAGAGGTATGTGAATTGGCAGTCTGAATAAAAAAGAGAGGCAAAAAGAAAAGGAAAGAAGGGATTACCATCCATATGTAAAAGGCAGAACCACAAAGAGATTAAGGGGTATGAGTGAAGTCAGGGCAGAGATGAGAAGAGAGTCCAGCTTGTTCCCACCTCTCTGAGATGGTCTCACTGTCACAGTACTTACAAGTCTATTTTTCTTTGCTTTTAGGGTCTGGAGACCAGCAAGAACTGTTTGGTAAGTACTGCTTTGTGGAATATATTTTGCTTGTATCTGCACTGCCATGGACCTAGCTCCCAAAGCACACAGCATTTTACATAGAAAAAGAGATTCGCTGACCCCCAAGGTTTTTTGCCAAAGTAACAGACCACATATGCTATTTTTATGACTTACTGCATTTGTTCCATTGTTCTCCCACTCCCACAATAGGCAATAGCTAGCTAGCTAGGAACAGGCAACTGCTCAGCCTTTGTGGCATTAACAGTGCTGGCTCTTCTGGGACATCTCTGGCACAGCCAGGGACTGCCTTCCCACAGTGCAGAGCTGCCAAGGCCTTCAGAAGTCTGCTGCAGCACACATTAATCCTAGTAAGAAACACAAAGGTTTGATATTTCCATGAGTAAACAGTCTCTTACAGGCAATTAATTCAATAGCACAGAAAACGCTGCAGTTTTCAGCTGAGCCCATGACCTCATCTGAAGTTTTGAAGTGGAAATTTAGCAGAGCTTCAAGAATTGCTGCAGTAGGTTCTGCTTTGGCAGCTGCCAGGTCATGCTGCCAAGATGGCCCAGGATCACGGAGCTGTGCTGGAGCACATGCTCCACTGGTGGCACTGTGGGATGGCAGCTCAGGACAAGGCCCAAAACATGGCAGTGGTTGTGAGAATTTCACCAAAATAGGCATCAGCAACATTTCTACCCCTGGACATGATTTTTTCCCTCTGCTCCCAAGGTTTTCCAGCACTAAATTTTAGGAAATTTAAAACAACATAGGAAAAAAAAAAATATTGAACATTTTGTATACCTTTTTCTTCCAAGTTAGTAAGTCCATCCTAAGACAGCAAACATTAAGGAGGACCTCATGGGACTCCATGACCTGATAATCACCATTAGCATTTCAAATGAAAGCACTCAACAGCTGCAGCCTGTGAATGTGACAGAGAGACAAAGGCTTGGTGCCTTCTAATTCATGGGCCCCAAAAAATGACACCTTGAGAAGGGCTGATACCAATGCACCTGGCCTAATAAAAAGGCAAAGAGAGTCAAGCTGCTTTTTTGGGTAGTTTGCTGTGTAAAGTCCCCCTCTGCACCCCTGCAATGGGTGCAGGTAAGTCGTAGAAAAACAAACCACTTCTCTTTTCCTTTAGTACAGTGTAACAGTGAGGTGCAACGTGGCTTTAGGCAGCTACTCAGCACTCACCAGGGAAGTGCTAGGTTTAACTAAAACCAAGGCTTTTCCTATGTGTCCAAAATAAAGCAGCACAAAACAGTTAGCACTGTATGCACTGGTGAACTGCACAGCTGTGGCGGAGTCACAGACCTATATGAGTTCTTTACCCCTTTATCTTGGGATGTATTATGAGTGGGAAGCTCCCTTCTTCCCACCAACCTAGAGTACGCCAAAGTATCATATGCTAGCCAGATGAGGTCTGCCAGCAATCAACCTCTGGTCCCAGTTACAGCTTCTTTTTCTCCCTAGGGTGAGAGCCATGCGTGGGGGAGAATGAGAGATCTTATGAGGAAGACAAGGCTGAGAAACCAAAGCAAGCTGGGGCTCTCCTCTGCTGCTCTGAAGAGGTCCTGCCCACAGTTGTACAGGTAGGGCAGAGCTGCGGGAGGGTTTCACTTAGTGCTGGTGCAGCTGGTGGTGACAAGAACATTTTTCTGAGTGAAGACCCTCCTTACCTTCTTTCTAGTATAAGAGCGTCCTGGCCAGCACAGCCCTTTGCCCAGGTGCTCTAAGATCCCCACTGGACAATGTTACCTATGTGAAAATAACAAAAATATTGGGGTCCCTAAGGAGGTGCCTACCTAGTCATCACTAGCAAGGGTCACTCCAGTGACTAACTACTATATCTGTTAAGAGATCTGTGCTGGTCCCTCAGGTGAGTTTGCTGTCTGAGCTGCAGCACTCTCTGTGCAAGGTGATAACAGCATCCATTGCACAAACCCTCTCTGCATGCCTATCAAGTACTCCCAGCTGGTCTGGTGGATTTGTGATGTTTGCATCTATAAGCAGGTAACAGGAAGAGCCTGGGTATCTTAACAAAGCAGGAGAATTACATGGAACTGGGCACCTCCCTGTGTTTTTTCAGCTGAGGTCTTGGTAACCTCGAGGGGAACAGCTTGGATGTGCTTAAGCCCTCCTTGGGTTTTCAGAGGGGCAAAGATAGGGAAACAGCAGTTGTTTAACCACTCAGGAACATCCCATTGTTCCCTCTGATAGCCTGTACCTACCTTACAAGATGCACAAGGGAACTGGTAATTACAGCTGGAGAAAACCCTCTGTAGTTCATGGACTGATTTTTCCAGCTGGGAGAAGCTTAGCTGGGGCCCAAACACATGGTAACAGGCAAGCTTCCTCCTATTGTTTGTGAAACTGAAAGGACTACAAACAGAAAGAGATCAAACAGTTCCATCTAAAATAGATGGTGAACCAGCTGGGGAAAACATACAAACTCTTGTGAACCTGCCCTCTAAAACTGAAAAAAATGAGACCCCATGTGGGCTTCAGAAAAGTGCTGTCTCTGCCACCCCCCACAGCCTTTTCTGTGCAGCACTGAAGATGCTGCCAGCACTCCCTGGGTGAGAATTACAGCCTAAGTAAATTCATTTTCTTCTACTGAAAGGCCATCCCAACTGCTCCTAAAAGAGCTACTTTGGCATACATATAGGACAACTAAAACACATAGAAAGGCTGCAGAATGAGATGCCAAAGGGATGACTTTTACCTGACTGAAAATGGGCAGCTCCAGAAACCTGGCATGCTGATTTTCCCAGGCTGCTTCCCGTAGCTGGTAAATAAACGGCTTTCTCTAACATATGGGCATAGACACTTCGCACATGTCCCATGCCCTTGAAGTCTCTCCATTCCCTCTTCTCCTGCTTTCCAACTTTGTTCACTTGCCCTATCCCTGTTTGCTCTCACCCTCTCTAGCACGCATCCTGCAATAGCGATGCACTGACGTTTGTTTTTTGCTGAGGCTTAGAAAGCTGGGAACAGTGCTCTTGGGCATTTTAAGTACCTACTACCCTCAGGCTCATTTAAAATAAGGCACTGAGCCTCAGTAAATCAGCGACAGCTCTGCAAATGCTGCTGGACAGAAAGTTGGGCCCGTCCTGCAGCAGTACCATGATAACAAAGCAAAGCAACGTAAGCACTGAAACCCTGATAGTCTCAGCATTGAAAGCCACTGCCTTTGTCACAATTTATGAAACATGTTTGTCCTGGCACTTGATCCTGTTTGTGCGTGCAGGCACACAGAATTGGCTGTCTTTTGCTTACCCAGGCTTCCTTGGGCTCAGAGGCATCTCCCAAGGTCTTGAACTGGAGCAGGCTGTAGCCTGGTGTCCCACAGTTAACATATAGCTCTGAAGGAAGCACAGATTTGTTGCCTTTGACACTCAGGCCCACTTGAGTCATTCAGGCAATTAGGGAAAGTCTGTTTGTTTTTGTTTTTGTAACTAGGTCAAAGCAAGTCGCCTTTCATGCTCCCACTGTTTATGATGAATGATCTGCTTCAGGGCGGTGGCTCTGTTTTTCTTTTGTCTGTTTTTTCTTTTTTTCTTTTCTTTTCTTTTTTTAAGTCCACAAAAGAATTCTCACAGTAGTGAGAGAACTTGGTTCTTCCAGCAGGAGAGACAGAGCCTGCCAAGGTAAACACACTGGCACAAGACTTGGTGGTTTGTCATATATTGTTCCAGCCAGGCTTAGGTTTTCATTTCATTTTCTGTTTTCTAGTAGCACTTTCACTCCTGCAAAGTCTGTTTTTCTTAGAGGGCCAGAAGAGGCTGATAGACGACCTGGTCATGGAGTTGTGAATTTAACAGCATATGGACCTGAGCCTGACACATAGCAGAAAAGTAGATTTCTCCCTCAAATCCTTGCAGAAAGTACTCTCCACAAAGAGCAAGGAACTTCCTTCCAGCTCAAATGATCCCTAAGACAAGAACTCTCTGTCTTTGCACTGTGAACTGGTTTCAGTGACAGAAGACTGTTCTCAAGTGACAGTCTGGCATCAGAAGGTCAAATATTTGCCCTGAATAAATAACTGCAGACTGACACTGACTGGAGAGAATCCAGCTGGGCTGTAAGTTCCACAGGAGCCCACCTTGAAAAATTTATTGCCACTCCATCTGACATTACGAAGTACATGTGGAACTGCCTCTAGTTAGACTGACATTCCTACCAGTCCCCAGAAACCCAGGAACAAGTAGGAGCACATAAGTGCCTCTGAGATATTTTTCCCTTATTTTCCCCAGCACCATTTTTATACATGGGAAACTTTTAATCCCTTGCTTCTTGCCCTGACTGCAGCTGAGAAGTAGTCCCAGCCATTTCCACAAAAGCCATTCAGCTCAGGAGCTTTACTGATGCTATCTGAAATCCCTTCCTAGGGCAGGTTCTAATATGGGAAACTTCAGATAATTCCAGCCTGGTACTCCTGTTGAGACATATCCACCTGTTTATCTACAAGCGTTGCAGCTCTAAGGTAGCTACGTGGACTTGAGCTAACCTCAAGTTATGATATCTTTTGTGGGCAAGGACATTAGTTTCGATCTGACAGCCACTGAAAGCTTACATCTGTATGACAGCTACTTGGTGATTAGGGTGAAGTAAGCTAGGAAGCACAGTGCCACACCAATATGCCAAAGCCCCTGTCCAGAACAGCCTTGTGCAATGACAGAAATCCCATGACCCAGAGCTTGCAGGCCTAGGTCTGAGTTGCACTCTTAGGGAAAGTTACTCCCATGGGAGCAGAGGCAGCCAAAAAACTAAAGCAGCAAGGCTTAAATTCAGCCATTTCACTGCAAAATACTTAAGAATTAATGAAACAGAAATCCTACAACGTTTAGGAAGATAAAAAAATCAGTAGCTAGAAAATAGAAATCAGCGTCATATCAGTCATGGCTTGATTTGAACAGTTCTTCAAATCAAAGATAGCAATGAGCTATTTGCTAAACATTTGAATTGCTTTGAAATGTTGCATTTAATAAAAAAAAAAAACACCAAAAAAACACAACATACATCTTCACTTTCTCAAACAGCAACTATTTTTAGAAAGTGTTCCAAAAGATTTTTCTTCCCCAAGTCCTGGAGGCCTGTGCCATTACAACCAAACAGAATGCATGGCACTTACTGCATTGGGAAGCAATAAGGAACAACTGCAAAGCTGGAGACAGACTAAGCAGTGAGCTTAGTCCTGTTCTTTCCAATTCTTCACCTCTTACTGAAGACCAAAAGTGTTTAAGCCTGTGACAGTGAGCCACCAATCTCTCCCTCTTTGCAATATCACACCAAATTATGCATTTTGTAGTGTTTTGGGTTTCTCTTGGATGCTCCCACAAGTATTTAGCCAGCATGTGGGTTGGAATTCTGGACTGGCAAGGGGAAGAGCATTGGGTGCTGTTTGGGTGGTGGGTACATATGCACAGCACGTTAGTGCTAAAAAAACACCATGTGTACTGACTGTGTGCTGTCAACTTCAATTGTATTTTTCTTTTTATTTAGGCCTGATATTATGTCTTCAGAGCTGAGGAAAGCTGAGAGAACTGAGAGGAACTCCATGATTGTTCTGGGGCAAAATACAAAGAATGAAAACATATGGCCTTTCTGATAACTCAAGTTAAAGGGGACAAGGTAAAGTAAGTAAAACTTTTCCACTCAGCACAGAAATTATGCAATTCTGTTCCCTCACCCAGACACGCTCCAACAGGCACAGAGAAGATTCTTGAAGTTCAAATTGTATGGATTTATGCCAACTGAAGACCAGCCCATATGCCTTTGAATTAGTTGACACACTCTGCCCCCTCCTCTTATAAGAAGAAAAAAAAGAACAGTCAATTTTAGGCAATTATAGCCATTTAGCCTGCATTACACAGGCATTCTGCATTCAGTGCAGAAAGAAACGCAGCAGCAAGTTCAGTTATCTGCAGTCTTAGTCAAATATTCCCAAATAATAAAGCGAACATATATTGGGAAACAAACTGCACATGATAAAAAACTAAAAGTGAAACAGACTCAGCCACTGGATAAATGCAGAACAACCCTTTCTAGTCCCTCACGTTCACCACATGTTTTTGTTTCAGGAAGGAGAAATGGGAACAGTGGCAGACACAAAATGGAAGAGTCCAGGGGTGCTTTGTGCAGCTTTGTGTACCCAGCATCCTCCAACTGTTGGCAAAGCAACTCTGGTTTGAATGTTGGAAGGGAAAGAAGGAAAGGGGAGGAGGATAATGGTCTGTGGACAGATGCATACTCAGTTACCTATGGCTTTGCTCCTGAACCTGCCACATACTCACAAGCCAAAGAAGAAGAAACTTGCAGCCAACACCTTGGTACCATAACCAGGAGAGGCTTTTAAATGAGACTTGATAATTAATTCTTCCTCCTACCTGTGCTAGGAACAGTACTACCTGAATCACCAAAGCTTTTAAATTATCACTGCTTCCTGGGGACCTCTTACAGCTGAAATGAACTTCAGCCTCACAGTAGCCAGAGGAGCACTATATGCAGAGATGGCTATGGCCTGCACTCCTCCCTCAGGCCAGGGGCTGCAGGCTGCTTGCCCTCAGCACACTCCTCCCTTCCCAGCAGCACCTTACCAGCTATGCAGTTTTAATCAAATACAACAGGAACAAAAGTCCATAAAGCCAAACTCTCCCCCAAGGCCATTCAGAAACCCACCACCACCTGCACCTTTTGCAAACACTCCTCGATTTCAGTGCCATCCTAACACAGAAGTCAACATGATGAATGGCACTGCAAGAATTGACCATTAGAGAGTTGGGAGGGTACATCCATGGCAGCATCTCAGCCATCCAGCAGCCCAGCTCTCTGTCAGGCTGTGCTGTCCACCTTCTGGAAGAGCAGGGCTGCAAGGATGAGTTACTCACACGCATCCTCTATATTCTGTATCTAGGACTGTTCTTTTAGATCTCTTAGGTTTTGAGGTTTATTTTTTTTTAATGCTGGTGCCTTATTGCCACATCTCCACAGAGCTCAGAGAATTGACAGCATCTGCTTCTGAAGGTGCTGCAGCTGCCACAGTGATCTTTGCTCTTTTGCTGGTAGGAGCTGGTGCTTTTATACCTATGGAGTAAAAATTCAAGCAAGCCAACTGTCTCTTGTTACAGGAGCTTGCAACTCCCCTGAATTACAATATAACTGTCAATCAGGCACTTGCTGTTTAAAATCCTTTCTGGTCTACCCTTAGGAACTGAGATTTCAGAAGATGAGAGTAACATGCCAACTTCAGCAGGTTTAGCCTTTCAGCAGCAGGTGCTTCCCTTTTGCTCATGCACAGCAGTTGGAGCCCTCCAAGGCAGAGCAGGATCTCTTCTTCTGAGATTCTCTGAGCCCAGTTCTAGCAGCAACACAAAGCAAAGAGTTGTTGCTCACTAGAACAACAGGTCATGTTTACTCAGTGCAAGTATAATTTGCAGGTGAAGGTCAGTGTAGCTGCTGTTATTTAGCATCTAAAAAAAAAAAGTTTGTGCTGACTCACAGTTAGTACCCTGAAGTAGGTGCTGTGTTTAATATTTCAGTTGTCATTAATTACAGCTGCTGTTGTAACACTTGGTTATTAACTGTATATTTTGCTAGCTTCATCCAAAGCTAGAGATATTTATGACCTGATTATTCTGTGAATAGTCTGTATATCTCCATAAATCCCAGGGGCTAAAAATCCTGCCTCAACTTACACCCTCCACCCATACAGACACTATGAGGAATACGAACTGGACTTGCAGCGTTTCAGGAAAGTCATGAACTGGTGTTTTCCCATCCCCTACTCTCCTCACATTATAGGTGTTATGGTTTTTAAAATTAAGATGAACTAGCACTCTTTTTATTACTGCATTATATGAAATATATTCATGTATTTTCAAAACTATATTTATAACCTGTAACATAATGTATAGTTTGCCACTTTTAGATATGCTTGTACTACAACTTAATAAGTTTAATAATAAAATCATCACTTATGAAATAACTGGTTTCAGATCTCTTACTAATGAAAACTAGGGGTGGAGTACAGTTACTGCTGGCACATTTTTTCAGGTAAACACAGCTCACCAAGAAAGGAAGTGTTATCTCTGGGCTTCCAACACCTTCAGCTCCTACAAAGCAGCAGTTGATCCTTTAGAGAGTCTGTTGCTTTTTCCCCACAGGCACAGCTGGGAGAGGTTGGTTTGAGCAGCTCCATCGCAGAGAACTGCACTGGGCTTCATACCCACAGCTACAGGCAGGCACAGCAGAGCAGCACTCAGCACTGCCACAGAGAAGAGGAAAAAACATCCAGGACAAGGAACACAGGTGCTCAGGACCAGTGTTTCTGGAAATCTAGATTTAGCAGCAGTGCTGCTCAATTGCCCTGTGTCCTTGACTGACTGGAGTCTGGCGTTTTAGGGGTTTTGGTACCCCACAGAATACCCCCGAGCTCGGCACTGGCCCTGAAGCTGCTTGCAGACAGCCGGGCGCCGACAGAGCACGGCTATAGCACGCGTCAACGCCCCTCCAGCCCCTGGGCTTGCTTCCAGTCTCGTACAGCCCCTAAGCACCTTCTCACCCAGAGCTCCCAGCCTCATCAAGCTGATTGTTGGCTTCAATACGCACGCATCAGCCCGCGGAGGGCAGCATCGAGCCCCTGGCCGGGCCCCGACGGCCGCACCCCCGCCCCGCACGGGATGCTTCCGCAGCCTTCAGCTATCGGCCTGCACGCACGATAAAGAGCGGAGCTGGAGGACAGCTTCTGATCTACTGAGGTGTGGTCAGCACTAATCCTCTCGTTGCCCTATAATAACGCAGGCTGCTAAAGACAGGTCAGAAGGCAGACAAATTCATGCCCTGCATTCCCAGATAAGCTGCACGCATACCATTTAGCTGCAACAGGCACTCCCTTAAGGGAGGCATTAGACTTTCAGCTGATAATGGCTCCAGCCAGAAAAGTCTTTGCATGATAGGGCAGAGGGCATCACCTGCTCCTGTCCTGAACACGAGACGACTAAGTACTGCTTATCCTGTCCTGGAGGTAGCAGGAAAGAGCAGCACAGCCTCAACTGAGCTGGTGTCCTCGGGCACAATGGGAGATTCCCAGCTCCTCTTTATAGCCACATGCTACCCTACATATCCCAAAGAGACAGCAGATGAAAAAATACCTTAATTGGTTTTGCTGCTCTTGAGCTTAGTGTTTGAGAGAAGCCAAGATCGTTTTTTTTTTTTTTTTTTTTTTTTTTTTTTTTAAAAAAAGATATCTGAAAGAAATGCAGACCCCACCCTGCATCACTCCTAGCTCAGCCTGCAGATTCCCAAGACAGGGCAGAGGCTCCTTCTTGACATCAGCATAGTTGCACCAATCCCATGGCAGAACAGACAGACAGCAAGATCAGTTTAGATAAATGGCATTTGGAGAACAGCCACCAGGATCATTTGTCTTGCAAAAAAAAAAAAGCAAAAAAAAACCCAACCAAAACAGTGCCAAGGCTTACTCCTGTTCCACTCCTCCTGCTCTGGATGAGGGAGAAGGCATCCCAGAGACTTAATGTGTTTGGGAACCACTTTATTGCAAAACAGGTGCCTGTAATGAGATCACTTTCTCCACCACAGCACAGCAGCCACCAACACCATGCTCAGCACTGCCCCAGCAGCCACAGCAGCAAAACCCAGAGCCCAAGGGGCTGCAGCTGCTCCTGTAGAGGAGAGAAGCCCCGGTTAGAACCAGGCTGGAAAAGGACTGGTCCATACTCCTACTGAGTTGCACACTTACTGAAGTCATCCACATCAGCTACTTGTCTTAGCTCATCCTGCAGGAAAATAACAGGGCCTTTGCTGGAAACATGGGAGGCACTGTCCTTAAGGGTATACTCAGCACTTCTTTTACCTCCTGTGGAACAGCAAGAGAGTTGTAGGTTACAAACATGCCTAGTCCTCAAGGTCAGGAGGCTTTGGCCACCTTCTCAACCCTCAGACAAGCCTGCCATGGATTAGAACAGAGAGAGGAGCCTACAGTGACCCTTGCATTTCTGTCAGGGAGGCAAGAGCCTTGCCTTAGAGGAAAGGAGCAGGAAATGCCTGCCAGTCTGTACTAAGGAACAGCATGTGCACCTACCCACTGGCTGGGAGACCAGAGCCCTGCTGCCCCTTGAGATGCAGCAAGGCAAAGACACTTACTGGCTCTAACAGGACAAGTGTTGGTGCAGGACTCTTTCACAGACCGGTGGCACACTGAGGCACTGCAGTGCAGGTACACCTAAAGAGAAGGCAATACAGAACTGAATTGCTCACTATCTACAGACAAATTATATCCTGCTGTGGTACATTGAACCTGTCCAACATAGCAGCTTTGATACTTTATCCACATGGACTTCGAACTACATCAGATCTGGCATTACAGCACATCTCCCAGACTCCTGGAATTAGGTCAGTTGAGTAAGCACTGCCTAAGTACACAGCTGGGACTAGTTTGGAGTATTGGTTGATTCAGGAGCACTGAACAGACAGCACGGGAAATAATAAAGTTCATCACTGAAGTGCTCAGTAATTCACAAGATTCATAGTCCAGAAAGCTACTTCCAAGTCATTTTAGCCATGAAGTTTACAAATTTGATCTGTATAGTTGGACCACATGCACTAAACTATTTCAACACATCCTGGGCAGCAAGCTAGCACTTACGTAATCTGCTATTTCAGTAATCTCATTTTCCATCATGTTCCTCCACTGATACATTGCCTATACTCAAAATCATCTCAGGGAAGAGATGAGACCACTTAATGTGAGCAATAAGAACCAATTCAAGAGGAACCCAGGGAACAAGGAAGGCTTCTTACCAGCCCGGAAAGCAGCTCTTGGGATGCAGAGTCCACAAAGGTAAACGTGTAGAGGGTGAAGCGCTGATAATGTGATGGAAACAGTAATCCTGAGGCAGTACTAAGAGGTACCAGCTGTGTCTGATAGTTGTCTCCTGAATAAGGGCACCTGAGAAAGAGGCCAGAAGTTAATGAGTGCAAGTCATTCCCCCACATCCAAAATTGTTTACAAGCCACTTACCCATTCACCAGGACAGGCCACTGTGTCTGTTGATGAGGATTTATACTTGGTGTGGCCCAGCAGTGGTGCAGTAGTAGAACCAGGTCAGGGTCTGTCCTCTGAAGGATCCTAACTTCTATGTAAATAGGGTCTCTTAGAGCCTTCACAATGGGATAGTCAGTGCCAGTGTAGTAGGAACTATATCGTTCATCTGGGTGAGAAAAAAGGGCTATTTTAAAGCAGGAATAAACAGGTAGAGAAACTGAGAGCATCCTTCATAGCTGTGCCATCAAGTCTTCAGAGTGGCAGAGAAGCAGTAATAGGATTCACTCCCTTATTACCCAGCAGAGAACAGAACCCCACACCAAGAAGCTAGACCAAGTCCTGTAGACCTCTCACACCTGAGGCAATACGCAGCTCCAAGGACAGAGGACCAGGCTGGGAGACAGCAGGGAGCGGTGGCAGTGTGAAGACCTGAACACTCAAGGGGACAAAACTCCCAGTGATGGCATAACTACAGCGGACATGTAACCTGGTGGGACAAGAACACTGGGTCAGGCAGATAGGTACTCTGGCATTGCCTAGCTTTTCCCCAGGATCACAAACTGGTATCTGCCTTAATTATATCTCCAGAGTATCCTCCAGTTCTTCTTCATAATTAGTCAAAATTCTCTTCAGAGTTTAAATTCGAGTCCACAGGGTGGCATTGATCAGCACCAGTTTTATTCCCTTTAATTGGAGGCATGCCAGTCCCTAGCCTACTCAGGTGACTGCTGTACATTCCGAACTTGTGTGCATGTTCTCTGGACAAGTTCCTGCTTGTTACAGCAATGCCTGCCCCAGGGTATTACCTGAAAGTGCTGTCCCTAGTGATAGAACCAAGGCTCCCCATATTCACATCCCTGGATGCCACCAACTCATTCTCATATATGGCATGGCCTCCAGTCATCTGCAATGACAAGACAGACATTTTTGCTGCACAGAAGTCAGGCTGGAGAACAATGGTTAGCTTCTGGAAATCCATAGGGTGCCCAATGCATAGTCAAAGCCACATCCGGTTGTTCCAGATCAGCATGCTTCAGTTAGTTCAGCTGCAACTCTCACCTGAAAAGTAGTGCCACAGGCAGAGAGTGGGAACTGGTACACAACAAAGGCATTGTTTTTCATTACAGGGATGCAGCCAGCACTGCGCCCACTGGCTAGATGCACAGAGTCCAGGATAACAGGTGGCAGGGTCACATCTCGAGAGACAGCAATGGAAAACTGTCCATCTGGTGTGCAGTGTGCTGTCACTGGGGGAGAGAAAAAGAGTCAGTTGTAGGTCCAAGGAGAAACAGCCTCAAACACAGTACAGAGAAGAGCAGCAAGACCTTCTTGTAACTCCCACAGCATATGCTGAGTAAAGCAAGGTAGAAATGCTGGTACAAGTGCTACCAGCACTGGATACTCTCAGCAATACTCATTCTAGCCATAAACCCAAGCCTGTTGCAATAGTTATTATTGGTTGAATACATTAATGAGTTTCCTTGACAACCAGAACCACAGCCCTAAACCACCTGCATGACTGGTACACCAATCCTCTGCCAGGGAAAGCAGGTACTCCAGCCAGACGTTGCATCAGAGGGTAGGATGGCCATTCACACTCACCTGTGTTACCATAGTAGCAAGTCTTGTCTTTGTCCCTAGGGTTGTAACAACAGCCTCGCACTTCACAGTCTCCCTGGCTGATGGGTAAAGAGGCACAGGGCAGCCGGTCCTGGCTGTGGACAGCAGAACAGACACCACTGCTGGGAGCATCCAGTGCTGCAAGGAACAGGAGAATCTTGCAGCAAGAGCACAGTAGCAGAGGATCAAGAGCACAAGGAACACTAGTTTGATTTTGCATACAAGTCAAGGGAAGTTTTATGGACACAGGTGAGGGTCAAACATGCCTCAGAGCACACATAGAAGCCTGCTGACAAGCAAGTACCCAGAAAACCAGGGCTCTCTGCACTGACATTCTCCAAGATGTCACCTGTGCAGATACAAGCTACCTCTCCAAACCTACAGGAGGTCGAGCAACAGGCACCTGCAAGAAAAGGTATTCATGACAACAGGCAGCATACTTCTTCAGGAGTGGTCAGTCTTACCAGGAAGGTCTGCAGGGCACATAAACAGCTTCTCTTCATGAAGAAACTTTTGTCCAGCAGCATCTGTCCCTTCCAGCCCAACAATTATAAAGTAATTGCCATCCTGGGAGAGAGCCATACATAATCAGTGCAGCCAGAGTAGCAGTCATTGCAGCCCAAGGAGAGTCCCCAAGTCACTCACCCATCCAAAGACATAGCAGCTGGTGTAGGAAACTGACACTACCATGGAGCCATCCGGAGATTCAGATACCCAGAGACCACAGCCAGAATCATTCTGCAGAGCATGTGCCCTCCCTTCAGTATCTAGGAGGAGATGAAACAGCAGCAGGGTATTCAGCAGCCCATGCTAAAGACATGAGTGTGCTACAAATGTATAGTTCAGTTAAAAAAAAAAAACAAAACAAAACATCTCAGCCCACAAAAGAGCCTGCACTGTCAGACAGTTGTGAGGAAACCTAGCAGCCAAGGACATGTAGACCCTAGCACAGCATTCTACTCAAATGCATGAAGGCCGGGTCAGGTAAACAGCTCCCAGATTACACAAGCAGCACTAAAACTACTAGCATATCACATCAGAGCCAGCACCCTTCACATTTCAGCCATACCTCACTACTGCATAGAGACAGCAGCAGCAGCAGCAGCAGCCAGAACACCTCTTGACATCACCCTCACTTACCCCAAGCAGTCAGCACAAAGGAAGCATTCCCTTCCCAGCCTGGGGGAAACGTGAGCTGCAAGCTGCCTTGGCCACAAAACAACAAGTCAGGGTCAACAAAAGGCCTACTCCAAGTCCCCACAACCAAAGCAAGGGGACCAAGCAACCCCAAGAAAGACAAAGCTCCAAACACAGCCATGGCCTGCCCTACAACACCCATCCTGCTCTCCTGCCAAGCACCATGAAGCACCTGCCCTTAGCCTGGAGCTTTTAAGCTGTGGAGACAGCTGGGAAGAACGAGTCCTGATGCTTCCAGGTGGACCCAACCCAGCAGTTTAACATCTTCTACTGCTCCCAGCTGCCTCCAAAGCCATCACTGTGTGCTTTGCACCCATTCCAGCAAACAGCCACAGGCCACCAACTCAGCTTCTGTCAAGAGTTCATAACACAGAGCTGAGAGCAGCTCATTTGTGCACTCCACTCTGGAGCCCCAGAAGGGCCTTCCAGCTCTTCCTCTCACCCTGAGTTCTTCCCCTCACTGGCCAGTCCCGCAGTTCTGCCTTTTCTCCATGTTTTCCCCTCTTGATGCACTGATTGCGCATTCCATGGCATAAGTGCAAAAAGCTCAGTGACAATGCTCTCTGTTAAAGGTGTCACTGCTTCAAATCCTACACACAGGGTCTTAACATGGAAGCATGGAAGCAGTCTCCTGCTTGCAACTGATGGATAAGTAGGCAGCTGTGCACACATGAAAAGAGGTGATTTCCCTTATATACTCCTGGCTCTGGTCTGCTGCACTGTTTGCATGAAGTGTGACCACAACCATTGGTGTCAGGAAGACAGTAACAGTAACAGCACAGGTGGTTTCCCCTAATGAGAACTAGTAGAAACTGTGCTGAATAGTAGAAAACACAGCAACGATGCTATACAGCATATACAACAGCACACTTCTGGGCACCTTAAGTGGAACACCACATTCATAGTATGAACTCTGTAACAATAAACTGGGAGTGAAATAAGTAGCCATATTAGCAGACATGAAATTTCATAATCCTGATGTCCTCTGCAGTTCTTTGACACGAGGTGTGTCTTTACTCAACAAAGCATATCCATATTGATGGATAAGTAGGGAGCTGTGCACGCATGAAAAGAGGTGATTTCCCTTATATACTTCTGGCTCTGGACTGCAGCACTGTTTACAGTGCAGGTGTGTGGGGATAGCAGGGACAGGTTGCTGGGCAGCAGGACCATCTGTTCTGTGGGACCCACACCCCAGAAGCTGACCGGTTTTCTTGAGAACCCATCGGTGGGCCTGAAGAATAGGTAACACTGATTCCTTCATGATCCCAGAGAAAGTTTATCCTGTCAATACCCTTTGCCTGACTGTAACTGCAAGATTTCTCCTCACACAGACAGCCTTGTCCTTGCCAAACATCATCCATACAGCTCTCAGATGCTAGTAGCATTTACTGTTGATAATTGGCTAAATAATAGTAAATAAATGAAGTACTTTGGAGCTACAGAAACAGTTCACTTTAATTTATCAGTGGTTTGTTCATGCTGACAGGAAAAAAATTAAAGAATAGCTCTATTTGAAACAAACAAACAAACAAACAAACCCAGACTAACAGTGGGAGTGCTGTAGTTCCACCACAGCAATACCTGTGCTGAGAGTGGTTTCACTTGTTGCTCTTTCTAATTTCTCTGTACATACACATGACTGCCATGTTGGTTGCTGTGGAGATGGGAGGTAAGTAAAATGCACCTGAGATCTGTGAAAGCAAACTACTTTGTGAGTTGTTATAAGCAGTGGAAAGCAATTTTGGTGAGAGGAAAAATGTAGATCTGTCTTGTTCCCAAAACTCTTCCTTAAGCATTTGCTTGTTTTCTCACACCTTATAATATGAGTGTCCAACCTTTCGGCTTGAAGAGAATTGTCTTGGGCCACACCTATGTAGGACACTCCAAAAGTAATGCCTCCTATTTATTTCCTTGGAAACTACAACAGATGCAAAGAGCACAATAATACTATTTGAGCAAATTCTCAGCTACAAAACAATATTTTTCAAGACAGTCACCACAATTAGCTGTGCATTTTCACCAGCAATGAACGAGTCCTGCATGCCATACTCATAAACATCTATACCAGTGGAGGTGGTCCACAATCACTTCTGCTGAAATGCACCACCGCTGCTTCACTATACTCACATCCACTCTCTGGTCTCCATAAATGCTCAGCAAGCATTGATGAATATCAGTAGGTGCCATTTTTTCTGCACAGAAGAATTCAGTGACATGCCTTTGCTCCATATGCACTTCCATGTCCGATGCCATTTGGTCAGACTTCCCCTCTTCTGCTGTCTGTCACACAGCAACAAAATGTAATGGGATATTGGTAGGAAGGTTCAGCCTCTACTGCCATCCCACCAACATCCACACCTGATGTCATGAGCCAACATAATAATATAGGAGTCATTACTTTTGGAGCAGCCCTTGTGAAATACATTATGTAGTTAATGCATGATAGTAACGAAACTTTTACATTAGTGGGATATGTGAAACTATCTTTTATGAAACTTGTTTTTGTGAAACTACTGTGTTAGCCTGGTTTGATGGGAGTAATTGGGATTCCTAGGGAGTTCTCAGGTGAGTCATCAGAGATTTTGGGTGAAATTTCACTCTTCCTGTGCTTCACCCTTGAAAACATTTGTTCACAAATGTATGCACTGCCAAAAATCAATTACACAAATAAGGTGTGATTGTGGAGCAAGGGATATTTTCTCAGGTAAGAGAGCATATGAAAGCCTGGTAGAGACATGCTCAGATTTTTCTTTGAGTTTAGTGTCTGATTGCAATTCTACATCCCATATGAAAATTCACAGATAATGCATTTATGTTGACTGAAAACAGAGTCAAAAAATATACCAAAAGAACTGATGTTTTTTTAGGTTATTTGAAAGGAAATAAATCCAATTCCATTATTGAAAGGTAAAGCACAGCTACTTGTTTATCGCTGTTCAAAGGATTGTATCTAGCCACTGTATAACAACACACAAAAATACATGCCATTAAAAGAACCAGAACTGCACTGCACCCTCTCTGTACCCTAGTTACAGCCCAGACAGTGTAAATATCACACCAATGTTCTTTTGTGAGAAATGGGTGTGCACCCAGAGCTGGGTCAGGGTCACACGGTGGGGCAGAGTCGCTGCCACGATGGCACTGGGCAGGGAGAGGCTGCAGGGCTGGCAGGGCTGGGCTGTGTATTGGCTGTGCCAGCCTTAAAGAAACGTTGTGGGTATAACTATAACTTCAGCAGCTCAAGTGGAACACCACTCCCACTGCATGAACTCTGTAACAATGAACTTTGAGGGAAATACGTAGTCTTATGAGTGCAGTTCAAATTTTTTAAACATGTAGGTCTCTGCCGTGTTTGACACGAGGTGTGTCTTTAATTAACACTTCATATCTGCAAATACCTGGTTTAAAACACAGGGCAAAATCAAATGACTGACGGTTAGAACAGATTAACTCAGCCATGTGATAAAAAACGTAGTTTATGTAACAAAGCAGAACCCTTCAGTATATAAAGGGGCACAGGCAGCCACAACAGCACAATCAGAAGCTCCTGTCCACCTCGGAAATGTTGCTCCTGGGAGCAGCAAGCGTTGTCCTCCTGATTTGTGTGGCTTGCCTGCTCTCCATCGTGCAATGGAGAAAAAGGTCTGGAAAGGGGAAGATGCCTGAGGGACCAGCTCCCCTTCCCATTGTAGGGAACATGCTGCAGGTGAAACCAGAGGATTTAGCCAAAACTCTTGAGAAGGTAAGGACTCCCTTCTTTCCTCTCAGTTTCTGCTGAGGGTGAGGAATGTGTGGGCTGTATGCATGGGGACGATGTGTGGCTGTAAATTACTGAGTGGCAATGGGCAAGGAGCAGAAAAGCCCTGGGGATCTCAGCTGCCCCCTCGCTGCTTCCGCCCTTGTTATGGGGCTCATGGCTCACTGATGTTTGTCTTGAGAGGACCAGGCCTCACTTAACACTGCAGGTCTGTGAGGCTGCCCAGCTTGCAGCACGAGGCAGCAGCAGCCTGATCACTTTTCAACCCCTCCTCTCTACCTGCTCCACAGCCACGCTCTCTCTTGCATTTTGACAGCTCTCTGAAAAATACGGGCCGGTCTTCTCAGTGCAACTGGGTTCAACTCCAGTAGTGGTGCTGTCTGGATATGAGGTGGTGAAAGAAGCCCTGATTGATCGTGCGGATGAGTTTGCTGCCAGAGGACACATGCCTATTGGAGACCGGGCTAACAAAGGATTAGGTATGTTCACTGACTGAGCTTCCCCTGAGGAAAAGGGAAGCACTGAAGACAAGTAGGGCAGATGAGGGCTGGAGCAAATGATGCACGTATGAGGGCAGTCAGAGAGAAGAGGGTGGGTCCCACTGCAACAAGGGAAGGTAGGGCAGCCCCCAGTCTCTGGCTTCCACCACGTGAAGTGTGTAAGAGAGACATGGAGCCAGACTGGGCTCATGTGTGCACAGCAAAGGGCAAGAAGCAACGGAGCCACGTTGCAGTAGGGGAAATTCTGTGTGGATGCAAGGGATCAGCTGTTCACAAGGAGGTTGGTTATGTCTTGGAGAAGGCCAAAAGCAGGCTGCTGGACTACAGCATCTCTGCAGGTTGCTTCCAAACCACAGTGCTACACAGTGCTGTGTCAGTGCTCCCCCAGAGACAGCACTCGCTCTCATTGCGAGCCTCCACTCATCACAGGTCCAGCACACCCAAGACAGGTCTTTCCCCTTTCTTCTTCCTCCGCAGGCATTATTTTCAGCAACAACGAGGGATGGATACAAGTTCGGCGGTTTGCTCTCACCACTCTGCGCAACTTTGGGATGGGGAAGAGGAGCATAGAAGAGAGGATCCAGGAGGAAGCTGAGCACTTGCTTGAAGAGATCACAAAAACAAACAGTATGATCTGCTTTTAATATCACCTACGTTTGCAAAAAAAGGAATGTGCCAAGGGAGCCCATGTCCTTAGCAGAAGCTGTGGAGTCTCCATTCTTGGAGATGCTCAAAAGATGTTGGTATGCGGTCCTGCTAGAGCAGTGGGCAAGGTGGCCTCTCAGAAGACTCTGAACCATTCTGTGAGTCTGTTAGGGCACCTTCCTGCACATTTGATTCCCGAGCTGTTAACACTGCCATGATCACCTGCAGCTCCTTTTGGAGAACCCCTCTGCTTCATTCAGAGACTGTGAAATTCCACTGTCCACTGCAGCTCATGTTACCCACAGTGGCCGTAGGTTTTATTTAATTATTTCATTACTTATTCATAGATTGTAAC